GTGATGAAGCGTGTCCTCTCGTATTTCTTCTGCTTCATGTAGCCCATCGCTTCTAAGTTTTGTAAAGGCCCATATGACCTATGGGCCAATCTGTGCATTGACCCATTTTAATATTAACATACCGACGACGACTAAATGTGTCTACTTGATAAAACCTTTATTACAAATAGATAAAGGATTATCACTGCCACAATTGGGAACAACTGGGCATACATATTGATGATTCACCTCCACTTAGTGAGAGTAAGACATGAAGCAGAAGAACTACGAGAGGACATAATTTATGTGAAATGCAGCTATCACTTGAGTGTTTTTCCCCATGTGACAGGTCCGATTAGCTTAGGTAAAGTAAATCACATGTGGGGCAGCTGTGGCTGAGTGATTAAAGAGGTCACTCTCCAATGGGAGAGTTGGGGGTTCGATTCCACCAGCAGTCACATGTAAAAGTGTCCCTGGGCAAGACAATGAAACCCCTTATTGCCTCTGATGTGTGTCCCATCAGTGTATGAATGTGATCTAAATGCACCGATTAGTCTCTAGAATGATTTGTTCAATTAGCTTGGTAGAGATGTAGTAGCTGGCTGTATGTGTGTGTAGAGGTAAATGAGGGCGCATATTGTGTGGTAAAGAACTTTGAGTATCTTGATTAGATAGAAAGGCACTATACAAGTAGTCCATTTACATCTTGAATGACATAATCAGTTAAAAACAAATGATTATTCACATAACATAACTGAAGACAAATTCCCCAAGCATGCATCATTTACAGCCAAAACAAGTAACTTGCAAAAAGCGAGAGGGAGGAAAAAAAGCCGTTATCAAAACACAAGCCACTGGTTTTGCAAGTCCTTACACTAAAAGTCATGCTTGCAGTGTCAGGTTTAACATGGATCCCCAAGCACCAATCCATAGTCTGCATTATTTCCAAATTGAGCACATCTGCTCCGTCCTTATGTTGAAAAAATATACAATGAATTTGACAAAATAGGGTTAGGAAGTACAAATCTGCTGCCGGTTCAAAGACAACTACAAGTCGAAAGTGTTGCATTGGATGACAACATTTGTTTACATGACATTCAGATTGATCTGGCGTCAGAGGGAACCTGTGATTCAGGTTTACATACTGGTAATGTCAGCCTCCGCCTTGAGTCATATGAAAAAATGTTAGTAATGGAAACTGCCTACCCAAAGCAATCACAAACAAACTAAAGATAGAAACTTATGTTGCAGGCCTCAGCAAGTACCAATCATTGTAAAAAAAATATATACTGAACACCAGATAAATTGTAAAAGTTTAAAAATGCATTGGAAAATCACACATTTAAATATAAAAAACCTGAAGTTATATACCAATACCAAGCTAAATGTGTATTTTCTGGTTCGAAATGAACATTAGTTTCACACAAACTTTGCTCTCCAACTTGTTTCTTTTTTAATTATCCAAAATAATTAGTTCTGTATGAGTTTATTCAACAAAGCAAACGACGACTCAAACTAAACCAGACTGTTACAGACAATATCTTCATTAAATCCTCTTTGTCTGAGAAATTACTTCAACAGATGGTCTTAATCTTGATGCTAATGCAGTAAAAAAAAAAAAACAGTTTCAACAACAAGCAGCAAAACTCGACAACAAATTACCGATTATTTGTTGAATTAGGAAGGAAAGTAAAATATATTTAAAACACATTACTATAGATGTTTAAAGCTAACAATGTACCATGTGAAGTAGCACTTCTTGGGTTAGTTAAATGAGTTAACTTTCATTTAAGAGGTTAGCTTACAGCTAGCACGGTAAAGCAGTAAGCTAGCTCGGCAGCTGGTAACGATTAGAAAAAAAATAGTTTTTACCTGACTGGCTTTGTAAAACTGCTTCTTAAACCCAGCGACCGACATCTTACACAGCCAATGTTTCCACCTGGTCCTGGACTGGAAGAATATTCTAAATAAAACTAGTGACAAACTCAGCAGAGCAACACGTCTCCAAACTTTACGAGGTGGATGAAAAACTTGCTAGGCAACCACAACTTCCTGGCTTGAATGGGAGTGACCGTGCGGAGAAATGATCGTCCTGCTGGTTAAAGAGGGTCGAAACATGCGCAGAACTATGTGCCCGCCTTCTTTAGGATGTATTTTCTATGTGCACACGTTTTGTCAAGTTTCATTACAGTTTATTTACTGTGTAAAAACGCCATTTCAGAGTCAGACCCAGTTTCAAATGCAATTAATTCCTGTTACATTACATACATCCCAGTAGCTGTTATGAAATGCCAATTAGTAAAAGGTGTCTAGCTGTCAGATTGAGTCATAATTTCATTTTGCTACAGTCCCCAATCCTGAGCAGGACATTGGTGACAGTGGAAAGGAATGACTCTTGTTTAACAGAACCTCCAGCAGAATCAGGCTCAGATGATCGACCCTCAACTGGCTGACGTTTGAGAGGCCATTGCGGTTCAGGTTACATTAAAGTTGATAGAAAAGCAAGATCCTTGTGTGAGCAGGCGGTAAGAGAAATAACAGGCTACAGTTTTCATCACACACCCACGTCAGTGAGATGCGAGATTGGCCCTTCTCATTGACTATAAATCAGGCTTAAGCCTAGAGCACCTTAACTAAAGGGTAGCTCAGGAAACAAAAGCCAACCCTAACTATAGGATTTATCAAAAAGGAAAGACTTGAGCCTTGTCTTTAAAGAAGACAAAGTTTCAGCCTCGTGGACAGTAACTGGAAGTTGGTTCCTCAAGAGAGGAGCCTGATAACTGAAAGCTCTGTCTCCCAGTCTGCTTTTGGAAACTCTAGGAACCACAAGTAAACCTGCAGTCTGAGAGCAAAATGCTTTGTTTGGAAAATATGGAACAATAATTCTATTTTGGAATTCTATTTTGAAATTTACAAGGACCCGAGCAAAAAGCTAAATGGAAAAAAGTGGAGTCTCTCCTAACTCTCATCAAGACTCTGGCAGCAGCACAAATACTTTTAAATGTATTTTTACATCTATAGTACAACTAAAATTAATTTGCACTTCATTCAGTTCCCCTTAAAATATTATGACACATATATCGAGCCAAAGTAAAAAAAACCCAAAAAAACCCAGTTTTTTGTTTGTGCTCAATTATAAAACATAGGTGTGCACAGCACATTCAATTTTTTTTATCACGTCTACACTTTTAAATGTTTAATTTCCATGTTTGTATTGTTTTATATTAGTTCAAGTTCTGAACATATGATTTTAATATCCCTTTGAACAATTTGTTAAGTTTTTTTTTATTTTTAAATTTTGTTTATTTTATATATTTAAGATTTCATTTTTGCCCAAAAAATATTCAACTGAACAATACACAATATATGGCTATTTGTTTTCTTCTAAGGTGACTCAGCATACTTATTCAGTTTTTAACCATATTTTATTTTTGCCAACATTCATGTAATGTGAAAAAGTTTTATCTCCATCCATCCATCCATCCATCCATCCATCCATCCGTCCGTCCGTCCGTCCGTCCGTCCGTCCGTCCGTCCATCCATCCATCCATCCATCCATCCATCCATCCATCCATTATCTTTACCCGCATCTTTCTACTTGCCCATGTCCAGCAATCACTGTGCGAGAGGCAGGGGACACCCTGGACAGGTCTCCAGTCCATCACAGGGACATATAGAGACAAACAAGCATTCTCTCTCTCATTCACACCTAGGGACAATTTAGAGTTACCAGTCAGCCTAACATGAATGTTTTTGCTCTGTGGGAGGAAACCAGAGTACCTGGAGAAAACCCACACATGCATGGAGAGAACATGCAAACTCCAACAAGCTCCAACAAGCGAACAAGCTCGCTGGGGGCGGCAGCTCTACCAACTGCGCCACCATGCTGCCCTGATTTATCTTTAGTTGATAAAATAAAATAAAAACTTTTGTTAAAAACGTTTAGTTGCAAGGATGTTTTTTTTTTACTTGTTTTTTTTATTTAAATATGAAACATTTAATAATAAAAAAAGCAGATTAAAACCACACGTAGATCTTCTACAATTCAGATCTATGTCATTGTTAGTGGCGTGATATAAGTGGACATCTACAAAGTCATTCATTTTTATAAAACTGTTTGTTGCAATAGTGACATGAAGTTTTATTTAACCTATTCAATATTATTATTTATGAATCAATACAGTTGTTTTTAAAATAGTGTCACTTCGTTGCATATTTTAGAAGATATTGCAGGTGTAGGTTGTTGCATCTTGAAGAAGGAACTTGAACATGCCTTCAGAGGGTTAAGAAGTCTTCATGTTATATTCAGATTGAGTCAGTGTTGAGTTCAATGTTCGGCAGAGGTTCAACCATCCGCTGCAGGACTCCCAGTTCTTCCAGGGGCTGAAAATAGCTCTTACTAGCTTGTCATGTTGTCATGGCAGAGTTATTCTGACTATTTTCTTATAGGCTCACGACTATTAATAGGAGTCTAAAACTCACAAACAAAAAAAGCAAAAGTTAAAATAAGACACAAGCGTTTCAAAAGAAAAAGAACCCATTTATTACATTCTTAAAACCACAAAAAATGTATCCAACTGGAGAACAATATACTGAATATTGAGTTGGTGTGACTTGGTTTTTCTTGAACTAGTTATATACCTCTTGTACATTTTGTCATACAGGTAAACGAGAAGGAAGTGAAACTATGTTTTTTTTTTCTATTTGTTTTGTTTGTTTGCACAATTCCTAATTTTTCAGAAATAAAAAATAACATTAAGTCACTGGCTTTACAAGACAAAACGTGGAGACACGTGAAGAAGTCGTGGATCAAAACACTGACGCATAACTGAAAATCACAGCAAATAAACATTAAATCCCAATGACAAAATTGATCTTGAACTCTAAACCTTTTAATCCTACCAATCTTAAATTGAATGTTACAATATTAGGACGAACAGGAAGGGCTTTGACACGCTGTAAGTAACATTCACAAAAATAGAGTTTACTGTACGTCCACAGTGATTATGGTTACGGGTCTTAGGTGCAAAGGTGTGAGGAGTACAAGGCTAAAAGACGACACTTTTAATAAAGGGACAAGAGGTCACAGCTAGCACCCTGAGCAGCAGGCAGGAGGTCCTCAGACTCTGCTCAAGAACATCACAGCACCCCAAGTAAGACATCATCATCATCAGCTCAGTGTGTCAGAAAATGGGTTATGTACATGACAGTTGTAAACAGTTATGGCTGACCTTGTGTGACAGACATGGAATAAAAACGAAAAATAATAAAACGAACAGATTTGAGTCTTACTGGCATGGAAGCAAAACTCAGGGGGGCAGCTGGTAGCTCTGTCTGGCCTTAGACTGGTGTCAGGTGAGAAAGAGGAAAATATAAGTGCTTGGTATTGGGAAAAGTGTTGCGTTCAGGGTTAAAGGAGAGAGGAGCTCCAAATGTACAAAAAAATACAACTGCACCAACCAGCAGAGAGGGTTCTGATGCATATGGACCTTTGTAGTCCCAGCCTGAAGCTAAAAGAAAAGCTCTGAATAAAACACAGTTACATCGATGTACTCGTGTCGTACGGACTGCTGGTAGGGAGACCAGTGTTTCCCCCTTCATGATACAGTTCTTGAAGTCATCTTTTGCCTTGCTCTTGTTCTTAGAGTCCAGTTCATCCTCTTGTCTCTTGTAGCAGGGGCGGGCAGCAGCAGTGCAATGAAAACTTTTATTCAGTTTTTTAAAGTTTATTTTTGTTTTTGCCCGTGTTCAAATGTCCTGCCCCCGCCTGCTGTGTCAACTCAGCAACAAGTTCCCATCCCTCCCCTTGATTGGACGATGGACATGCTTTGCCAACAGGGGAGGGGGTTTGTTGCCAGGGAAACCTGAGAATACTGTCAAAAGAGGACAAAAATTCATCCCAAAAAAAAAAAAAAAATTACAAAAAGATCCGAGTCCAATTATCCGTTTTTCTCACATCACTTGTGCGTTCCCTCCCACCTTATCATTTGTCGCTCTCCCTCACTCACACTTAACTCTCTTCAAATACTTACATAGTTATCTATTTACATTCTTATTTAAAATATATGCTTATAAATGTGTATATAAATTAAAGATCATTTCATCTTTTCCTGTCGCTAAGTGGCATTTGCAAGGAAAAGGGTGTGTGGGATTGAGGTTTCTCTTTGCATTACAAGAGCCTATGAAAAGGCAGCACCGAACACTGTGGACTGACAATGTGTGTGTGTTTGAGCTGAGTACACACTGAGTCGTATCATATGTGTTTTTATTTACCGGTACGTCAGAGAAAAATCTGACCTGCGATCTTGGTCCCTTAGTGAAAGGATGGCGTCTACATGAATACACGTCACACCGAGATGCAAGGGCATAGAGGGATAGTGATTATGACTGTTCTATTAGTGATGCCTACTTTGTGTGAAACTGTGTTTTAGTGTGTCAGAGATGAACATTCACCCTTGTTGTTGGGTTCTTGCTTGTGCACTGGTGCTAACTGATGAGGTACATTCATAACTAGTTTGGTGATCCACCGAGGATCAAATGTTAAACATCTTTTAGAGCTTGGAGCTTTTACATGCCATGTGGACTGCTGTGACATCATTACAGTTGTTTTCATTGCTACAATATTCACAGGAACATGGGCATGTGTGGTCTGTAGTGTAAGGTGCTTATGCCTGCTGGGATAGTGGAGGACTACTCTGGGAGACGGAGTACTTAAAGTCCTGGATTGTCTTGTAACCGCTGGTCGTTGAGCTTTAAACTCTCTATGCTTTGCTGTCTCTCCTTTTGATCCTCTACCTCCTAACACTCTTTGTCCATTTCTCATTTTAGTCTGTCTGTCTAGCTGTGAGTGGAGTCTGGCAGAGACATCTCGCTGCCAAACACTTCTCGGTACAATGGCGGAAAACTGTAGGCGGTCTCTGGGTGGACCAAACGGAAAAACTCCAGTTTATCAACGTGGAGGTTACAGATAGACTTCATTATGGGCAGCTTGGACACCATCTGTAATGACAGAAAGCAATGGAAATGTAAAAATAATGGCGCTGTATGTCAGCGTTTATAAAAAAATAGCCACTTAGTTTACACTTTACAAAATATTTTAAATACACAACCGTGTGTCCTCCTATAAAAAGGAGGGTTTGAAGTTAGTTTTCATAACATCACAGGACAAATTCTTCCCCTTTGAGAGTTTAATGATCTTTTACTCAATGCTGACTCCGTTGTCTCTTCTGTCCTTTATATGTTTATCTGGAGCAGTGATACTATATGAGTATTGGTACACAAGGCCCTGTTGTAATTTGTTTGCTTTTTCTGACTGAGATTCATTTCCATTAGTGCTTTTGATTAATATTTGATATGTGATGTGCCTCATGGGTGTGTACTCGAACCTCTAGTGTTTGGAACGTAAATACTTTCATGGCTCAGTGTCTTAAAAACATAATTTCACCAATGACTTTATTGTAGCGGATACTCAGAATTACCTAAATGCTCAAACTTAACAAGTTGATACATTTTCTAGAAAATGTTTGATAATGTTAAAACATAGCTTACAACACTTCTTCAGACAGCAACAGAGTTCTGACCCAGTCAAAAAAATAATAATCATTTGATGACATCTGTGCTTGTTGTACTTATAGATGGATTGCCTTTACATTAAATATTTATGCTTTAAATCTTTATTATCTGAAATAAAAATAACATGAACCTCAAGTGTGAAAAAGACTAATAAGATAAGGGACTATTCCAAAAAAAGTTCAATCTGGTCCTCTGGAAATTAAAAAAAAAAACAAAAAACAAAACAAAGCAAAAAAATCTAGAAACGTTTCGTCTCTCATCCAAGAGACTTCCTCAGTCTGAGGTGCTGTTTTCAGCTCAGTCTCTTAAATAGCACCTTCTCAGAGTGGATCAACTAGTTTGCTGCTGACAACCAAAACCAGCTGATCACATGCTCAAGAAGGACCATCAGCCTAACAATGGGTCATTAGCACACTGATGTCTGTTTACTGTTCACAGAGGGCTCAGTGATACTAGCAATCACAGCATTGTAAGAGGGGGACAGTTGAACACGGAGGCCTCCACCCCTGTTTAATGATGGACGATTTCTTTTCACAAAGATGGCCTCCTTTACTCATCATCGTTCCTCTCTGTCCAGGATGTGAACATCTTCATCCCTGAAAGAGTGACCGCTGGCCTGGAGATGAGTGTAGACCGCAGAATCCTGGCCTGATGATGTTGATCTTCTGTGCTGGGCCATCCTTTTGGCCAGTGGCTGTTTAGTTTCCCCGATGTAAGACTGATCACAGCCCTCCTGACACTGAACAGCATACACAACATTGCTCTGTTTGTGCCGGGGGACTGGATCTTTGGGATGAACCAGTCTTTGCCGTAATGTATTTTGGGGTTTAAAAGCCACTGGGACGTTATGTTTAGAAAATAAACTTCTGATACTCCCTCAACATATGGAATGACCACTGGTCTGGGTCTGGGTTCCTCCTTTTCACCTGATGGCTGACTGGAGTCCTGTTTGGGTTTCTTCTCTGCTTTCAGGAAGGCCCAGTTAGGATATCCACATTGCTCTAGAGCCTGTTTTGTGTAGGATTTCTCCTTCTGCCTGGCTCCTGAACTAGTGGGGATGCTGTCTGCTCTGTGATACAGAGTACTGATGACTCCTAACTTGTGCTCCAAAGGGTGATGGGAGTCAAACTGCAAATACTGGTCTGTGTGGGAGGGTTTGCGGTACACCTCGGTTTGCAAATGTCCTCTATCAGAGACTGAGACCTCACAGTCCAAGAAAGCCAACTTGCCATTTTTTACATCTTCTCGTGTGAACTTGATGTATTTATCCACAGAGTTGATGTGGTCAGTAAAATGTTGGACTTCCTGAGATTTAATTTTAACCCAGGTGTCGTCAACATACCTGAACCAATGACTTGGTGGTGTCCCTGAAAAGGACGTCAAGGCTCTCTTTTCTACCTCCTCCATGTACAGGTTGGCAACAATAGGAGAAACTGGAGACCCCATAGCACACCCATGTTTCTGCCTATAATATTGCTCCCCATATGTGAAGTAGGTTGACTGCAGGCACAGTTTCAAGAGTTGACACAGTTGTTCTGTGGAAAGTGTGGTCCTGCTGCTCAGAGTGGTGTCTGATTTTAATCTTAAACTGACCACCTCTACTGCATCAACAGGAATGCACGTAAAGAGTGATGTGACATCAAAAGAGACCATTGTTTCATCAGTCTCCATGATGACATCCCTCCCCTTATCCACAAAGTCCATGGTGTTCTGTATGTGGTGTTCTGAGCTGCCAACTAAAGGGATGAGTACAGACGCCAGATATTTGGAAACATTGTAAGTGACAGAGTTAATCATGCTAACGATTGGTCTTAAAGGTACACCTTGTTTGTGGATTTTAAGTAAACCATACAGACTAGGTGTGGCCTCCCCTGGGTACAGTCTGTGGTAAAGAATACGGTCAATAGCCTTGTACTGCTCCAAATTTTTCAGGCAATCTATTAACTTCTTCTTGTAACCACTTCCTGGATCTCTTTTCAGAGGTTCATAAGTGTTTAAGTCACTAAGGAGTGTCATAACTTTCTCATGATAGTCTTTCTGGTTCAAAATCACTGTGCACTTTCCTTTGTCTGCTGGGAGAATGATGATGTTTTTGTCCTTGCTAAGAGTGGTGAGTGCAGATTGACCAGATTGGGACCAGATTGAACTTTTTTGGATTTTTCTACCTGGATTATTGAGCATGCATCAGGATATAAGGGACTATTATCATTTACCTTATCGAGTTTCTCCTCACAAGCGTCACTCTTCTGTATACTGTGCTGCAGAGCCAGGTAGACTTTCTCTTGGAGTTTCTGAACCTTTTGGCCTTCTGTCAGCCAGGGGCGATCTGTAGGAGCAACAAAAATTATACCTTACTATTCAAGTTTCTTGTTTTTATTTATGCGTTTTTAATCTCTGACAGAGTAGGTGGGCTATGGTGTAATTTCCTCTGTTTGTTTGTCTGCTAGCAAAAATCTAACAAACCACTGAATTTTAATAAAACTCTCCGAACGAAATCATTAGATGTACACCTACGATAAATTAACTTTTGGAGTTGACATCATTCAAGATGGGAACAGCAGTTAAAAAACTTTAGGAAACAGAAAAGTGGCTCCGTTATTTTAAAGTGATTGAGTTAAATTTGAGTGTGGTAGTAGCTGAGAGTCATCCCCATCATATACCGTACTTCAGATCAACAGATATCTTTGTTAAGAACTGTGGCATGCGAGGTGGCGGGTGATATGCAAATCAATTTCATATCATTCTATTTTTTACACACATCTTTGATATGTAAGCTGATTTAATAGGAATGTCTAAAACCTTCAAATCAGCACTTTTTACTTTATGTTCAGTTAAAAATGATCGCTATGACATTTTATAGTTTACTGCATATGATCTTTGAGAGGTTACTTTAAAAGAGATTACTATAAATGAAAATATCAAATGCTACAATGTGTTCGTTGACACATAAAAACTAACAATTAACAACTGAATAAAACATATGTACACAAACATTTTGTTCAAAACACTATTTAAAAAATGTATAAAATAATGTTTAATAAAATGCCCTAGAAAGAAAACCCCAGGAACGTTTCAAACAGAGAAAAAGAAGATTAAAATGTGCCGGTTTAAAAAAAACAAAAAACATCAGCTGTCACTCTTTGACGTGGATGCAACCTTCATTTAAATAACCAAAGATAGAACCGAACAATGTGAACTTCTTCCTCGTCACACTTGTCTTTATGAATTTGTGTGGGTTAGGATGGGAATTTAAAATAATTACCAGGGGATAAAAGGACAGCGGCGCTGAACAAAGCAATCTCCTCGTCAGAGAGCTGCAGACGGCAGAGCCCTCTCCCCAGTTCGAACACGGCGCTCACCAGATCATCACAGCCTGCACACAACACACAGTGCACTTAATATGTGACTCATCAAAATTAGTTCTTATAATTGAGCCTCTCAAATTATTCATTGAACCTTTTTACTTTCTGTCAGACTTTTTAGAAGCCAACAAAAACAGCCAATATAAGGTTTTCCCACTAGATGGAACTGTAGCACAGATTTTCTGTTTAGAGAGCAAATTGTCTTGTGCTGAAAGTTATTGACAGCTACACTGTTTAAATTACTAGTTTGGCACTTAATGAAGCATGGAATAAAGGATTCATAAGTTTTTAAAAAATATATAAAAGACTTTAATTTGTGCCAGTTATCAGAACGTTTTAAAGTTGAGGCAACAGCATTCTTCAGTGATCCTCACCGAGGGCTTTAAAGAACGGAGCTGAAGCAAATTTTCCATTGAAGAATATGGTGCTGTTGTTGCTGTTGAAGGCGCGGCACATTCTGATGAGCAGGACCTCCAGACAGCCTAAAAAAGGTAGTCGCAAACAGAGGAAGAGACGTGGAGAAAGAAAAAGAAAAGAGAGAGGGCGAACAGCAAAAAGCCCAACGTTCACCCATACGCACAAAAACAGAACACGTGGATAATTTTGATTCAGATTTGTGCACAGCATATCCAAGACAATGTTGAAACAGTTAATAATAAAAAAAAAAAAAACATTAAAAAAAACCCCAGATAAGGTGTTTTTGTAGTTCAAATCATTTACAAATAGTAAATGCATTGTCAGATATGTGCATTTCATTCACAAATAAACACAATATGTGTGGATGAATTTACCCATAAATAAAATTTGTGTTCAGATTTGTGTCGTTCAGAGCAGATTTGAGTTATTGACAAAAATAAATGAAAGAGTGATAAAAAAATAAAATAAAATCAAAGATAGAAGGTTGGAGACAAACAAAAAAAAAAACAAGCAGAAAGAAACTCAAGTTAGCAAGTTTAAAACTGTTAACACTGGAGGACTGTGAACTTTGTATAAAACATGTAACTGGACCTTTCAGAGAGTGCACCGACCTGCTTTCAGCAAAATGATCTGATCGTTCTGGCACAGGTCCATAAAGCCTGCAATGCGCTTGGCGAACTCCACCACGTACTGGATGGCATTGGTGATGTGGTGCGCACACTGCTGCCACATCCACTCTGCCGACTGCGAGAAGTGCAGCGAAAAGAGTTTTATGAATCACCTAAAACTTTCAGTTGTAAAACAATAAATGTCGTCCGTATTATTCTTGGCCGTGTGTTTCACATACTTTGCTCTGGAAGGCCCGGGTTTCCTCCGGTGTGTACTGGACCCAGGTGAATCTCTTCATGTCTTCAGCGCTGTACTGACACGTTTCCAGGTGAGACTTAAAGATGCTTTTGGTGATGTTCTCTGTGAAACACACACACACACCAGTCTCAGTGTGGTCTCATCCTGGGTGTTTGTTCTACAACAGGTTTGTGCTTCCATGTCCCTTTTTAATCATTCGCTTTGCACCATGGGGACGTTCTCCTGCCTCATTTTCACACTTCATCTTCGTGGTCGTTTGATATTTTCTGTATCCTGCTCTTAACTCCCACCAGTCACGATATTTACTATTTTTTTCTTTCTAAGCCCCAGAGCTGCACTGAAAACAGCTTGCTGTTGTAATCTACCCGTGCATACATTATCTTTACGTGCTTCATCCTTTCCAGGTTGCAGGGGTCACTGGTGCTCATGTCCAGCGATCACGGTGTGAGAGGCGGGGGACACCCTGGACAGGTCTCCAGTCCATCACAGGGACATAGAGACAAATGAGACAAACAACCATTCACTCTCTCACTTACACCTAGAGACAGTTTAGAGTTACCAATCAGCCTAACATGCATGTTTTTGGTCTGAGGGAGGAAACTGGAGTACCTGGAAAAAACCCACACATGCACGGAGAGAACATGCAAACTCCACCCAGAAAGGTCCCTGGCCAGGATTCAATCCAACAACCTTCTCGTTGAGAGGCAACAACTCTACCAACTGTGCAAGCTAATAGAACAGAAACATATTTCTTCTGAAGGTTTCTACAGGCACCTCTGCAAAAGCTTTTGCCCTCGTGCATGTAAAACGTCTCCATACTTTATTCTAGCCCAGTTTGTGGAGGTGACTGTTCCTCCCTTTTACATTTCTTATTGCACTGCTTGTTTTACCAGCTTCATCTTGCCTTTGGCCTTAAAAGCAGTTTTGTGTGTGTCATATTCATACAATATGTCTTTGCCTTCGTGTTTCAGTGAATTAGATTTGCTTAGAAAATCACATTTGCTTTTCTTTCTTTTTTTTAACTACATTTGCTTTTTCTCCACCTAGAAATCCACAAATTTTCAACCAAACAGCTGTTCTATATTTTTGTAGCAGTTCATTCAAAGTGCACTAAAACTGAGAAGCAAAGCTAAACAATAATTATCTATCCAGCTGTTCCTATTACCACCCCCTGTCAAAAGTTCTGTGTATCTTTTAGCAAAATATCTCATGATCCAACACACTCCGAACACTCTCTTTAATGAAACTCTCAAAAAGTAATCCTGATTAACTTTTGCAATAGCTCCAAATAAAGGTGGCTGTCACAGCTAATCCACCTTTACCAACACATAAAAGGCCTTGAGTCAATGGATTATGTAGTAGCTAAGAGTTGTTCTAAACACACACTACAAGCAACAACATATCTCACAATATGTGGCTGTGGTGGCCATCTTGAGACAGAGCTGCCATGAAAGGTGGTGGGATATGTGCATTACTTCAAGGAAACTAGGCCTTTAATTCAATCTCATTGTGCATAAATGTTTATTCTTTTTATTAATGATTCATCTATAAAGAATCAAATATGTTTTGACTTTTTTTTCTACTACTGTTCTCGAAACTGTCAATAAAAAAAAAACATTATGTCCTGTGAACTGCTAAGAGCGATTTAATGGGAAACATCTGGAAGAAGTATTAACTTTGCATGAAACAGGAAATTAATATGAAACTCCGGAGACACATGAGAAAATGTAGATCTTGTTAAAACAGGCCTGTCTTTAATATCCTGCCAGTTCTGACCTGCTGTTGACTTATGCACGATCACTATGCGAGGAGTAAAGAAACGTTATGTGACGCTCTCTTTGCTTCAGGAGGAACAAGGAACACAGTTTGTTATTTATCAGCTCCAGACTCACCGAGCTCTGTTATTGAGCAGTCATCGGGCAGATGGTCCGACGGTGAACGTTTGCGCCCCAGCAGCTGATGGGTGTGCAGGAGCTGGCTCCCGTTGGTGTCTGCCGAGTCCAGCACTGTCTGCTGCGGGGAGCTCTGATTGGACATGGGTGAGGATGAGGATGAAGACGAAGACGATGAGGAGTTGGAGGTGTTCCCAGTGCTGGCCCCTCCGCCTCCGAGCAGCTCCAGGCTGCAGTACTCGCTGGCCTCCTCCGGGGTCAGCGGAAGGTCAAACAGGTCAGGCAGCGCTGCGATGTCATCCAGGTCGCTGAGGGTTGAGGTGGAGCCCCCGCTGCTGTAGGACCGACTCAGACCCTCCTCTCCATCATCTGTGCTGCTGCCACAGACTCCATCCTCCCGGGGCAAAGACAGAGGCTTGGAGCCCCCGGTGCTGGCACACTCTTGGGACTTCTGGTGCTTTTGAACCTCAGCGTAGAGGCTGTCCCGCTGTTTCTTTGACATACGACCAAATTTAACAGCTACGGAAAGAAAACAAACCTTTATAAGAGACAAACTGATCACACATGTGTATTGCAATGTGACATCATTCTTAACAAGAAAAAAATAAACATTAAAAATGAGTTTCAGCGTTCAGCAAGCTTTCAGGTGTATTTTGTGTGTGTTTACCATCTCGGCTCATGCCCAAAGCCAAACACTTTTGCAGTCGGCAGTGCTGGCAGCGGTTCCGGTTCGTCCGGTCGATCAGACAGTTCCTCTGGCGGGAACAAGAGTACATAGCATTGTTCTGCTGGCTGCGACGGAAAAAACCCTGGACACACACAAACAAAACCAAAAGATGGTTAAAATGTTCCCACGAAGAAGTTTGTTAAAGTTGGTGTTTGTTCATTCCTCTCACCTTGCAGCCTTCACAGGTGATGACTCCATAGTGAATTCCTGAGGACTTGTCCCCGCAGATTTTACAAGGGATGACCTCGATCTGAGCTGCAGGACCAAAACAACATTGACACAGCAAATCAGAAGGCAGAACACAAATTAAACAGGCAGCTTTTGTTGTGTGAAGAACAGCGGTTACGCCCAAAGCTTTTAGTTAAAAGGCATAAAACAACAGGGAAAAAACCCCACACACATACTGAATACTGAAATGTGCATATTCAGACAAAACTGTCACATTCGTCGCCACACTATGCTTGGTGATCGGGCTTATCCTTCTTTAAAAACAGTTCAAATTTGGTGCTGAATGAATAAAATCGAATTGAGATGCAAATCTATGTTGCCATCTTTTGCCAGCTACAACTTCTTCCACAAATATGTTCAATAACTAATTGTTCTTATAAGCGCAGCAGATCAAATAAAGTGACATTTAGCTGTAAATTGTCAAATTGCAAAAAAAAAAAAAAAAAAAAAAAAGGTAATATATCCATTTCTTAGAAGAAAACCCTTCAAACTGTCTGAACTACAGCTGGTGTTTGGTTTATTCTTCCAAACCTGCAGTTTAAACATGATCGTGCAACAATACAAAATACATAAATAGAAATAGGGACTATTTGCAAAACAAAGCAAGGCTGTTTGAATTCGTGGTTTGGCGGATAATGGGAAGCCCAGCAACTTTACTGGTTCAAGTAATGCCATTCATCTCCTCTAACGTATTCATAGAGTTCAAAAGAAGATAGACTGTGTAAAAACAATACTTTGCATGAATATAACGAATGATCCATGGGTGAATCAGTGATATTGTGAAGCTCTTGAAAAACCTGAACAACGTTAAAGCCATAATAGCTTTAGTTAAAGCCATAATAGCTTTAGTTAAAGGTCTCCTGTTAAAGTTTGCATATGAACTTAGTGCCAACTTTTCTTTAACGCTCTCCACCGCCGTGCTCCGTGAGGATGGGATTGGGGGCCCATTGCTATGAGCTGTTTGGTCCCTATACAAGTGGTGCGAGAGTTTGGTTCGCATTGCCCGGAGTAAGTCGGACCCCTTAAGGGTGGGAGATGGACTCCATCAGGGCTGCCCGCTGATACTGATTCTGTTCATAACTTTTATGAACAGAATTTCTCAGTGCAGCCAGGGGGTGGAGAGGTTCTGGTTCAGTGGTCTCAGGATTCCATCTCTGCTCTTTGCAGATGATGTGGTCCTGTTGGCATCATCGTGCCGTGATCTTCAGCTCTCACTGGAGCGGGTCACAGTTGAGTGTGAAGAGGATGGGATGAGAATCAGCAACTCCAAATTCGAGGTTATGGTCCTCAACCGGAAAAGAGTGGATTGCTCTCTTCAGGTCGAGGGTGAGGTTCTACCTCATCTATGGTAGAACCCAGAGCTCTGGTCACGAGCTCTGGGTAGTGACCGAAAGAATGAAGTCAAGGATACAGGCGGTTAAAATGAGTTTCCTCTGCAGGGTATCTGGACTCTCCCTTAGAGATATGGTGAGAAGTTCAGTTATCTGGGAGAGACTCATAGAACTGCTGTTCCTCCACATCAAGAGGAGCCAGTTGAGGTGGTCCGGGCATGTGGTAAGGATGTCCCCATGGCGCCTCCCCAGGGAGGTGCTTCGGGCAAGTCCGACTGGGAGGAGACCCTGGGGAAGACCCAGGACATGCTGGAGAGATGTCTCTCAGTTAGCCTGGGAACACCTTGGGGTTCTCCCAGAAGAGCTGGAAGAGGTGGCTGTGGAAAGAGATGTCTGGACCTCCCTGCTCAAGGTGCTGCCCCCAAGACCTGACTTCAGACCAAGCTGATGGATGGATGGATGATGGATGGATGGATGATGGATGGATGGATGATGGATGATGGATCTCCACCGCTCAATTTCCTCAAGACAGATTCAATATCTGTCGCATGTTGAGACTGTCCCAACTTGTCAATGTTTGAAAGTAAACAAACGACTCGTAATTTTTAGCTACAAAACATGACTTTGTTGATGTTGTGAATTTATTATAAATTACGTGGTAAACATTTAGCTGTAAATGGCACATATTTAACACATATATAACAATTTCCAATAAAAATACTGTAAATTGCTTATTTTGACAGCTATTATTGCTTTATAGGTATAAAATCAAGTATGACTAGTCAAAATGTTTCTTATTCTTCACTATTTTTGACCCATTTGACTCAAGGACAGCAGAAGGCGTCCGTCTTAATAGCCTCTTCTTTGTTTTGCCTTTCTGCGTAAAGCTGTTACGTGTTTTTTTTTCTTTTTCAAGCTAAGGTTTTCATTGTCGGCTTGAATGCCACAGATGAACCCTGAACATGTTCATAAGAAAGCGATGACAGTTTCTCCTTAACTTCAGCTGGAGATGTCCTCTCACAGTCAGAACTTGGAGCTGTGTGTGTTTGTGTGTGAAGGACAGTGTTCATGCAGAGCGCAGGAGGCAGGGCAGGCAGGATGAAAATCCCCATGTTTTCTTTACAACATGGCAAGGAAGGCAGAAAATGCTGCTTGATGGAATGTTTTTCTGTTGGCATTAATATCACATGTATGTGAACGTTTCTACAATAACCAGCTTGTAGCTTCTGCTGCACCAATGAGCCGTTCCATTGCCGTTGCCACCTAAAATGTTTAAACATGATGTAGCACAGAAGTTGCCACCTTACATGAGCAGACTCCCTCTGCGGGACATATTCAAGGAAAATTAACAGAAAAAGAGTCTGATGTGATCACTTTGGCTCCAACGGGGTCTGATAGCATCAGGTCGAACATAGCCCAATCCAAAAGATCTGTTAGCTAATATTCTGGTTCCAGCACCCCTTCCCCCTTCGTCAATGTTCCATCCAAATAGAGCTGATTTGGTGTCAAGAGTGTTGAAATTTATAAAGCATATGGCCTATCAGTGGAACAACTGCAGCACTTTTTTTTTATTTGACTTGTGCACTGCTTCACCTCTGCTGTCCAGGAGTCCTGCTGACAGCGTTACAAGGTGTAGACTTACACACTTACACTTTATGAGTCTGCAGAGCTGAAACACAGCTCATCGCCAGACATGGGTGCACTTTTTTTAACGCACTCATGCTCACAAAGACCTGCATGTAAGCCTTTTTAAAATCACTTTTTAAACATTTTGCTGGTTTACATGTGCATCCCCCCCTCCCTCCCCCAGTAGCTAATAACCTTTTGTGTGCTACACATTTTGCAAGACTGTGTGAAACTTTGGAGCAACATACTATATGGTGTCTCTTTCCTTCTGGTAACAAAAGCAACTCCAGAAAGTCACCAGTACACCCAGCACTTTGGAATATGTTACTGTGTGCACCTTTCATACGGCCTCACCCCCAGCAAACAGAGTAAACAAGCAGAAGGAAAATCACATGACCTTTGCACAAACGACACAAAGACTCCCTTTTCTCAGCTTGGTTAAAGTAAAAGCAGCTACAGACATATGAGGAGGCAGTTGCTGCTTTGGTCTGCTGTCTGTATGATCGTGGCAATGGTGGTGGCGGGGTGGTCGGGGCATGCAGAACCACGTACCATTGCTAAAAGTTTGTGTATGGAAATCCGGTATTGGTGCATTAAACCGAGGAAGGAAAGTTTCCACCTAATATTCAAGTTAATGAACACTTTCCTGCCTCTTCATGAAAAGCTGTTGAAAATGCTCCAACTGATGAGGGCAGCTGCAGGCATGCAATGGAAAAATATCTCCCTTCCTCCCCTCCCTCGCTCTCTCCCCACCCCGCCCTCATCTTTTGATTATATAACTCCTGTCTGTGAGCATTCTTCTCAGCACTCAATGAGCAACGCTCACACCCCGCCTTCCTCAGGATGCTCTCTCCTTCCCCACTGGCTGCGTGGCGCTGGCTGCTCCTCCGCATTGGCTGACTCATCCATCACTCCGGCGCTGGAGCCTGTCAGCCCATGTGGACTGGTCTGTCCCACTGACACACTTTCCCACTGCAGGAGGAGTGGGAGGCAACAGAAACCTGCTCTGTGCACTTTTAAGGTGGAATGGAGCAATGCATTCCCTGAAGACTCGGTGGTGTCTGGATTAAACAGTTTGCAATCATAAATAAATGCATCAATCAAGGAATCATAGCTCTGTATAAATATTCCACTTCTTCACAGCTGTTTGAGTAGCAAGACGCGCTACATGTCGACTGTAACAGAACAAGCTGTCCTGTCCACCCAGACCGTTCAAACATTGAACTTGACAGTCAGATATTCACCCCCCTCCCTCATCACACACACACACCACCCCTCTCTTGATCTTTGACACTGAGCTCCTGCTTTAGTCCCTTCTATTTTTATCCCGTGCTGAGAGCCAGAATTACTCAGATGCCCAACAAACCAACCACAAACACGACATATTTTCTCGCTGTTCATCTTCAGGAACAAGCAGAAAAGAACAGAAAGCCACAGAGGCTCTGTCAAGAAGGCCAAACTCACTCCCAGTGAAGGCGAGGCATGCTTTCTTCAAACTAAACCAAGGTGATGCTCAGAACACCCTTGGTCAACACTTTGGTTCCAAGAACCTGACAAGCAGTAAGAAAACCAATATAATTTCCAATAATAATGACAATGTGACACAACGAAAAAGAAATGGCAGCCTTAAATGCACATAACCACTAAAAGACAACGTAGTTGGGCTAATAGCTGCTTTAATCAGGCAGCTGGACCTGTTGAATGAGAATATTTTGCCCCAATGACAATGACTAATGCTGTCATGGAAATTACCTGCATTTACAAATGTAATAGGCTGAGAAAACAGACAGAAAGGCTTTGAAGATATACCAACAAAACCGAACAAGTTTGCAACTGGGAGGTATTTTCATTATCAAACATCCTTATTGAGCTTTTTTTTTCTTTCTTTTACACCTGATGGCTCTAAAAAACGTGAAAAGAGTGGAAAAATTTCCAACGCTGACAGGGGAAAACAGCAGACGGCAAACTAACAAAAAAAACAGTTCTTTTAACCCCGTTGACCTGCGCAATGACGCCGGTCTGAGCGTTCTGACCTTTAGCTCTCTTGAGACACCGAACATTCCAAAGAGATCCATGTTTGTTTTGCTAACTGCAAGTGTGCTATGTGAAGTTAGGCCTACATTTGCCATGCTTTAACGAAAACACGGCGGAAGAGTGCAATAATCGGGGATAAATGTGAAAACAATGGTGCACGTTGGAGTAGATTCCAACCTGTCCACAAAACAGAGAAGAAGACGTTGGTAACGGCTGAGACCAACTTGTTGTTGGCTTTAGTGTTTATCAGCTCGCTAAATGTGTAACCACGTTATCTCTACAAGGGGTTATTCAGCAGAGGGTGGGGTCAACTGGGAGGCAAAAGGAAAATCACTGACTTTGTGCTTCCAGCAGCTTTTCTGTTTCTAACAAGGGACAAATGGGTGAGAATTTTCCAACAGGTGTTCTCCTGGCTGGTGTGTCGAACAGTCAGCTTAACGGTATGCCAAGGGAAACCATGAAATTGGATCTTCATGCTCACTAACACATATCTGCCAATTCTCAGACATAGTTTGATGCTACTTCTCTATTTCCTACATTTCAATACCATACAGGGGTCTGCAACCTGCGGCTCTGGAGCCACAAGTGGCTCTTTGGTCCATCTGTAGCGGCTCTTTCAAGCTTTGACCAAAACTAACATAAAACTGAATTTTATTGGTTATTGGTCAAATAAAAAAGGCTCGTTTTAACAGTCTTCCTGTAAGTTTATTTAATTTTTTGCAAATATGTGAATAAAAGGACAATACAAAGAGTAAAGCATACTCACTTTATGCTTTATCTCTTCAAAGTATAGGATATTTAATTTTTCCACGATAAAAAATAAAATCATAAAGTTGACTAAATTGTTAAAATCTGCGTTTTTCTTATCTTTCTTTACAACAATCTGGTATTTTCTTTTGTCTTAAAATGTACAAATATTCAAATGTTAAAAAACGTTTGATTTTTTTTAGTTTTATAAAGTCACCCCTACTGGTCAGAAAAGGCCCCTCCAACAAACTTGAAGTGGTCCACGGGCCACCAGTTGATGATCACAGTTGTACCAGATCGTTGTGGCTCCAGGCACTTCATTTAATGAACAAAGGGGCATTAATGGCTCTTTTGATCATGAAGGTTGCAGACCCCTGGCCCTACAAGTAGCTTGTTTGCTCTGTATGAAGGCTAATATCATGAAAAACTTGACAAGGAAAGCTAACTCCAACCAGCCAACAAGCTGATATCATTTCATCTGGATGCTTTTCATTTTCACACCATTTCCTCATGAGAATCGCTCAAAAATAAGAACTGCCCAATGTTCATATTTACAAGCAACACCTGTTCACTTGCCGGGCTGTGCCTCATTCTTGTACATTTTATTATGATTCTATGCTCAAAGGAGGTGGCACCCTTTACTAAAATGTGCGACGTGAATTAGAAATGTACTAAACGCTCATTCTGTGCACAGGCTGGGCGTTTAGCTGCTGGTGCTTTCAGTGGATTCTATTTTAAAAGATGCAAATACCGCTGGAGGCCGAGCTGAGGCCCACAGAGGGGGGAGCTGGGTGCACTTCACTGGCCTCTTCATGCAGAAAGTCAGTCTTGTGATCCTCCATTGTGACTGTGAAAAGTGCAACAACTACGGCAAGCCAGGAGTATCAAAGCTCCAGCCTTCATGACCCAAACTGCGTCTGAGGGCCGAAACTGGAAAAAAGGTGACTCGACAGTTTTGATCAGGGTGATTGCAAGATGATGAAAGTAACTGGAGGAGAACGTGCTGACAAGTGAAGGAGCAACAGGTTGTGCAAAAAAAAAAAATCCCCAACCTTTTCTTTTCTTGCCCGAGCCAAGAGGGTTTGTTTACATTTGGATATCCTGCCAGAGAGGGAACCTCCCTCCACCAGAGGCCCCAAACGTTTCTCTGTCTGTTTGTTCCTCCTCTTCTTTATTCTTGATCAAGAAATCCTTCTGTCTCTTCTACTACTGAAAAAATAAAAGTCCTTAAAGGTCAAGTTTGGTCCTGGTTAAAAAAACGTTATTTGTACACATTAGAGGGGGAAAAAAGATAAAAATGGAAGCATGAGGATGTTGCAACTAGAATTTTGAAACTTCTGCAGGTGGATGACTTTCATCTAGACCAGGGGTGTCAAACCCACTTACAGAAGGGGACCAAAAATTAAAACCTTTTTCAAACTAAGGGCCGGTTTCAGAATCTGCATTAACTCAAATCAGATAACCAACATCTGTTCTTGGTTGCACATTCCTCAACAAGAGTTTGATGGGTCTCATTTGATGTTCTCTGTTGCACTTCCGACATCATAATCAAAGATTACTGAAAAAAATTCAAGTCATAAAAGTATTTTACATTAAAAATATCATCTTGGGGGCCAGATAAGATGTCAACGAGGGCCACAGTTGGCCCCCGGGCCTTGAGTTTGACACATCTGACCTATACCAACAAAGAAAATGTGATAATATGTCATACTTGTGTGCATGTTAATTGGTGTTAGCAAAATATTTCATGAACCAATGGATGAATTTAAACGGAACTTTCAGACAGTAATCTTTGGGTGTAAATCTACAAATGATGGACTTTTAAAGTCAACCCCATTGAAGATCACTGCCAGAACCAGCTGACTTCAGGAAAACACAGTTTGCTCAGATTTTATAGGTATTCAGCTACAGGCTGGTGTGGGAGTAGCTGAGCATCACCCCCGACACATACTCAGAGCATACCCGTTGTGCAATATTGTAGCTTAAAACGTTACAGTTAGCTGTTGAAGACAAATCAGTTTGTCTGTTAGCAAAATATCACATGAACCATGGGCAGATTTGAATGAAATTCTCACAAAGTATCCACATGGTTGAACATGTACAACTGATTAACTAGAAAAGAGCTAATCGCCTTCACAAAAATGACCATACCATGTCAGATTGAGATATTTAGAGATAAATTTGGGTGTGGTAGTAGATGAGAGTCACCATTAACTCATACGCCATTTCTTTTTATTTTAAGAGGATTTTTGCAAAACACTGGCGTAAAAGGTGCAGACGATTTGTGTTCCCTCACTAAATATTTAAATATATATATTTAGTTTTAATGAGTTATTGCAGTAGGACTGAATGCACAAAGTACGATTGCAATTGCGAATTCAGTTTTATCCCTCCTCCAATCCAACCCTCAGTGTAACCACATGGTGCGTCCGACTGCCCCCCCCCCCCCCCCCCCCCCCCCCCCTCCCCC